GAAGAAAATGAAGGTTCTTTCGTGGAATGACTAAATGTCGATGTCTCTGAAGGTAACAAAAGCTCGTTCGTGGAAGGACTAAACATCGATGGTTCTGAAGATAATGAAGTCGGAAATATTGACGTTGTGGAGGACGTCGAAGGTGTAGTGTGCCCCTGGCAGCTTCCACTGCTAATCGAGACATCATCAATCGCTAAGTCACCAGTGTAAGAAGATCCTACTATTCCTTCAAATGTCACCTAGATGAGTTAAAAACGAATGAATAAAAAGTTGCTATTCCATTCGTAATCTCAGACAAAACAGAAACAACGTTCTCAATAACGAAGAATCACCTAGCTGGGTGTACGATTATTTAGAACGAGAGGCGAAACGTAATAAACGAGAAGCCTTGTATTGTTTTGTTTTGTTTTGCTTTGTTTTCGTAGTTTTATTCTGGTTTGTGTGCGCCTGACTGTCTATCCGTGTCTCACTGTCTGTCTTGTTGCCTCTTTATTTGTTTGTGTTTGAGTTGCAGTGTATTGTTTTATCAGTACACTTTCTTTAACATGACTGTACGTCTGTATACAAATGATTGGAGAAAAGAAAACGTGCAACGCGTTGCTCAAGGCTGAGCTGCCAAAGACACATGTTGTTTTCCACAAAACAAATACGAAAATTCTTTCGAAGGGAGAGGTTGAAAGGTTCAGTGATTTGCCATGTAAATCATGTATCTACCAATCAAAACTCACAATGTTATCCAAATGAATGGTTCTTTCCGCCTTTTTCCAGTAGTTGCCATGGTTACCTGAGACGTTGAAAACTACCACACTTCCGCTGAATACTGTAAGGGTGCCCATAGTGTCTCCGTACATGTGATAATAGAACTCGAGGCAAGACGGTTCTCCATTTCCAGATACAGAGAACTCAAGCTTCGCGTTATCACCGGCGACCCGGGGCGAAGATGCCTCGATATACATGTAGTATCCTGTGAAAGTAAAAAAAAAAATTAACTGCCCGACCGAAAGCACAACAAGTATTTTAATTGATTAAACAGAAACAAAGTACAAGTGACTTTTATTTTCGAACATATTTCGCAGTTTCCGTGTTAAAATGGTATTGCTGGAAAACAAAACAAAACAAAAAACTAACAATAACATTTTAAAGATACGTTGTTTTTTTTTTCTTACCTGTCGCACTGGTATGATCGTAATCTGGACCTGTATCTGAAGACCATGTTGATCCTGTCTGACGTGTCCAGTCAAAGACGTCTGAGAAAGACTGTTCCCAGCCATCACAAAGCCCTCGGTCGAAGTTGCAAGATGTACTAACTAACAGAGAATTGAGAAACCCGTCTTATTGTTGTGTTTTGTGCGTGTGTTTTCTTGTTTTTGCTTTTTTCCTCTTTCGTTTTACTTTTTTAGTTTTTTTTTTTTTTTCGATAACAGTAACAGGTACAGTCTGCATACCAGCCAAGTGGTCCATCAGGTTGGCACTTATCCCCCGTTTTAGTAGCATGAAGCCACTAGGAGTACTTTTACTCCCTCCTTGNCCCGCCGCTGCATTAAATTTGCTGGTACCCATTTACACACCTGGGAGAGTAAATTGCCTTATTCAAGAACACAACACGGTATCCCCAGCCAGGGCTCGAATTGGGCCCGCTTGTTCCTGAGACGAGCGCACTGACCTGAGGCCACCGCGCCTCCAATTTGTTTTGTTTTTCTTGTTTTCGTTGTTGTTGTTGTTGTGTTGTTTAAAGGTTGCAGAAAGTCCTGTGAACCAATCATAACTCAAAATAAACACATATAGCTGGCACCGAGCGAGTGAAAACGTGTACAAGAGAGAAAAGATTGGTTTCGTTGTTAATTTTGATTAGATGACAACGTGGCGTGACGTTATTAAGCCAATCGCTTAGAGAAGTAACGCAACTCAACGAAAATGCGAGCGAGAAACCGTTCTATACGTGTTTGTTTTGATCAGTACGATTTTAATTTAGGATTGGCCTTGCAGGCGACGGACATCAAATGACGATTGTTCTCAACCTGTCTTACCTGGACAATTTCCTTCGCTAACTGTTACGTTATCGATTGCGATGTCACTGGTGTATGACCTTCCTCTTATTCCTTCGAATGTCAACTAGGAAATGAAAAAAGTTACATGCCTTGACAAATCATTTTTTTTTTCAAAAGATGAAAAGAGATAGTAAAAAGATTATGCTATAGACTGGAGTTTGTTGGAGCTGTCTGAGGTTCTCTCATTGGTTCTTGATCGGTCACTGCGGGTTGCGATGACCTAATTCGTCAGTTTACAAGCGATGCGATAATGCTACTCTGTGCAGGGTAAAATATGCTTTGAATGGATACTCAGGCCCTTACTTTGGTGGCTTTACAACAAGGTGCTTGTTCTAAAATATTAATGTTTCTTACTTCGTCTAGGTAAATATCGAGATGCTTAGGAGGAAAACTCTGTTAATTACGGCACGTTCACATTACCGATACGCCAAATCAACAACATAAAACCTATCTACCAAGTAAGAACTTAGCTTATGTGGTTTTACTTTAATGTTATTGTTGTTAGGACATCAACAATGGAAAAGTCCAATAGGCGGAAGGTTAAACGCGTCATTAAGTGAGTGGCCTGCGTTTCACGAACGCGATAAACGTGTATATTAATTTTGTTTTGTTGCTTTGGCAGTGGCATGAAATGTAAAAATGTAAGCTAAGCTTAGCTAGTTTACAGACATGCCACTAAAACAAAGGAAACAAATATTTCAGATAAACGTAACATAGTTAAAAATCCCAACTGGTAGGAGGCAGACCAGTTGGCTATTTACAAAGCGTGACCGAGGATTTGAACTCGGGACTAACGAGAAACAAATCCCGCTAATGACAGGGCGGAGGCCTTGAACCCGGGACCTCCGGATTACAACAACCACGCCCTAAACCACACGGCCACGCTACTTCCTTAAAGTATGAGGCTTTTACTGTTCTTTCGGTTGAAAAGCGTATAATAAGTTGCAATTTTGGAACTGTATACGGACCGGAAATCAGTTTCCTTTATTTCATACAAACCTTACGGATTTTCAAGTCGTTTCATTCCCTTCACTCAAGTGAAATGCATCCTCTTATAGCGAAATGAAATTTTCATGTCGTATACGAATCGAAAACAGCCCTTTACGGTATGTCAAACAGTAAGAATAAGTTTGAGTATAATAGCTTATAACGGACATGACTAAGAGTAGATACGTGCATCTATGTACGTATGCAAAGATGTACGTCCACATACATACACACATGCACATGTCTGAAGATCTTTCAAATGCTTTGAAGACAAAAATACTGCGGATTACAGAAATTCAGGAACCACACAATTAAGGCATACTTACAATGTTGCTCGAATTTATTGTCCTTGTAACTTTTCTCCAATAGTTTCCATGATCTCCGGACGCAGTAAATATTGAGCTATTTCCATTGAATACGTTCAGGGTACCCATCGATGATCCATACATGTGATAGAAGAACGTCAAGCATGAAGTTGAGCTACCCAGGCTTCTTGGTACTACAAGCTGGAGCTTAGCATTATCGCCCGGTAACTGAGGTGAAGCTTCAGTGTACATATACTTCCCTGTGAAGACAAAGATCAAAATGTCCTTTGCTCGGATTAAAAAACATTGATTTTTGTTCAAGATGATAAACGTAGAGGAACAACTAAACCCTGCTAAATCATATCACTTCTGGTTTCTGAGGAACGAAATGAGCTGTCAGTAAAATAGTGGTGTCGAATTGTGGAGATGTCGCAAGAGAGTTTCGACTGTAGAACATGTTTAATATATGCAAGAACGCGTCAACCTTACGAGGAATAATACAAAACGCTTAAGGAGGAAAGGATCAAAGGGCGTATGCTTGACTTCAGGCGAAATATACATTTTACACATAGGTACTGAAAATTGGCCCGTCTTGAAAATTACATTCAAAATTATTCCTGATCTAAATAGTAACATTCTTGTATTATTTCAGAAATAGAAAACATGCACGGTATTTCTGTCGAGTTTTGGCATAAATCTACTCGCGTTCTATGACGAACGCCGTTCTCTAATTGGCTACGTTACTTACCATATATTCTGCTTTAGATAATACGCTTGTTAACAAAATAATGACGGCATCTTCGGCTTTGCGTTTTCGAGTTATCTGTGACGAGGATTTAGATGATGTTTTCAACTACTAGGAGATTTATACCATAAAACAATTAGATCATTTGCTCTCGATTTCTTTGCGTGATAGTTGACTCGAGCTGCGTCCTCGTCAATTATCGCGCGTTATATAATAAGTCAAATTATTCTCGCATTTTGAGCAGCTCTCACCTATGATCTATTAGAGGACAGACGCATAGATGACGTCAATATAACAAACATTTTCCCTCCTATTTTTTTAAATGGCGGAAAGTTTTCAGAATTAAGATAACATTTTACGTGACTTGGCGAAAGATAAGGTACAAAAAA